CGACGATTCAGACTTTTCTGAATCTGAATCAGAGCTGCTGGAGTCCACAGTCACCAGAGCACTGACACGCTTCTTACTTCCCTTGTTTCCCTGAAAGAACAAATAACAACCAAATTGTAGATGTCAATACATCTGCAAGCGGCCAAGATCAAAGCTTCAAATGCGTTCCTAGTATTGAAATAAAATGCATTAGGAGTTAATAACAGGCTGCAAGTATGAAAAGTTTAAGAAGAGCAGTAATGTCTTTGGATCTCTTGGTTCTTAAGGAAACTTTTACAGCAGCAGTCTTTGTAATCTGACGTTTTCTCACTCTCTTTTAGTGTAAGACCAGATAAGAGACTATTACAACAGTTCACCCAGCTGGAAATAAAGGCATGAAGGACTTTCTCTTAAATCTTGTCTGGATATAAGACCTCTTATTACTGCTATCAGTTTAAGAATCGTTGCTTTAATGTAGCGCTCAACCTTAAATCTGAGTCTCTTTTTCCAAAGTTGGGTTTTCGTCCTGATAACTCTGATCCCAACAGAGCAACACATTCTGTATTTTCTCCAGCGACACCAGAAGTTTATTATAACATTATACAAATTAAACCAGAGGAAGCATGTTAAGATTTATGATAGCAGGCGGTCCAAGAACACAACCCTGAGGAACTCCAGATGATGCCCCGTTATGTATCACCGACAGCAACAACATAGCCTCTGTTGTCCACCAAAAATACAACTGTGCCAGATTATCCCACCCACTTGGCTTGTCATGAAGCATTTTTTCTTCTGCATTGACAAAGGCTGCACTTAGATCAAGAAGTACCAAAACTGAGGGTTTCCCTTGTTCTGTACAGTTACCTTACATACTTCATTAATCCCTCAGGGAAACTCTGGAGACTTCTCACACACATTGGCCCGAATCACACACACATGCACAAACAGAACCTGTGGACATGCATTAGTGGAGAGATGTCAGAGTGGGGCTGCTACACATGGAGGGCACCAGAGCTGTTCAGGGGTTCAGTGCCTGGCTTAAGGGCGCCTCTGCAGTACTCTGCTGCCGAACCAACTTCCATATTTTGGTCCGCATCAGGATTTGAACCGACGACCCTCCGGTTGCAAGCCCAAGTCTCTACAGACCGATCTACTGGCGCCTACATTGTTGCTGCATTCAGTGCATGGTGCCGTTTCACCAGTGCCGTTTTTGTAAAGATCTATTTTGGGGGTTTTCGCCTTCATTTAATAACGTGGAAAGGAGCCACAGGTCGGAAGTGAAATTTTCAGGACGGTCTGCCAGAGAATTTCCAAAGATGCTTATTGCCTTAGTCCCTCACAGCATAAAGATTTCCCTGTCAGACAGGGGTGATCATATTCACAGTATTAATGGATAAATGGAAATACACGTACTGGTAAGCAGCAAGAAAATAACACCAGCCGTGCCTCGATCGAGGTGAATTGTCCTGACTTTTAAAGGCTTTGTTCACACACAGCTTATCCTGAGATATGTAGCATAAAATTTGACTCGGGGCTGGGAGGACAAAGTGTGGCTAAAGTCTTGTAGAGCAATTTGTCAAATTGTGTTCACACATGCACAAAACTCCATGATTTATACCATGTGTAAAAACACCTTAAGAAAGCAAACCTGGAATCCCAATGCATGCTGGAAATGTGTCTTTAAAAAGAATAAAATAAATCGTAAAAACAAACAATCAGCACATTTCTTGAACACAATCAATCAAACCCGGTTTAGTATCTTTCTGTTCACTCTGTACCTGCGCAGCTGGGGTGGAAGTCTGCGGTCGGCCAAGGCCTTGACCCTTTGAGGAACAGACCCCCTCCTCATCATCATCTTCATCTGTGGTTTCCCCATCAGAGATAGAGATGACATCAGGGCCCGAGTCGATAACGATGACTTGCTCAAAAAGAGTTTTTGACTTCACATCTTTGGGGTTACTTTTCCCCTTCTTCTCTTTCTCTCCCTTCTTCTTCTTCTGCTTCTTCATCAGGTATTGCTCTATTTTGCTCAAATCAGGTGACTGAGGCCTTTTCTCTCCAGTTTGTTCCCTTCCTCCGTCTACAGTCTTCTCCGTCACCTCGGGCTACAGATGCAACGATAGCAGAATAAATAATGAATCAAAGACTTTATTTCAAACCAAAAATTAAAATAAGATAACAAAAAAAGTGTGTTCGAAAAGGACTAGGTAGAAGTAAAACGTATATATCCCTACCCCATTCTCACGTTGCCTCTATTAGTTTATAAATTATTACATAATTTACAACTAATAAACAAATGTATCCCCAGTTTGTTTTCTAATCCCAGTGTTTTTACCCTCCTCATATCCACCCAGTGTTACAGAATACATAGGAATGCCCCTAAAACAATTCTGTTCCATATGCTGTCAAAAAATATTTTTTGTATAGAATCTTAAACTTTGATACAATAAGAGATTGTGATTCCTGTTTCGATACCAGGGCATCAAAAATACAAGTCCAGGAAGCCAATATTGGGTCAAAAATTGCAAGAAAAATATGCAAACTGTCAAAATTACACAAATACATTGGCAACGTTTCAGAACGAAAACATTGGCAATTTATTTAGACAGCATCCCCTCCTCTGCTCTGTCTGTAAGAATCATCAGTGTAACTATTGTGTCCTTATGAGAAACATTAGTAATAGTCAACACGTGAATCTGAATGGCCCACCGCTGTGCTTTCTCTCTTTGGGTTCAAATATGACTGAAAATCTGTTTTTTTAAGCTTCAGTTCTTTTTGATTCTTTTGATCATTTAATAAACAAAAGGAGATTGTATCGCTTTAAAACACGTGGTATCTGAAAAGTATCAAAGTATTTGACATTTTGATGACCTCACCTCAGGCTGCTGGCTCTCCTGGCCCTCCCCCTCCCCCTCCCCCCCCTCCTCCTCCTCCATGACCCCCGCATTAGAGGAGTAGTGGAGCTGGCTGTAGAGATGGAACTCCAGCTCGCTGTTGACCTCGGACCCCTCAGAGTCTGCTCCATCCTCTTGATAAAGATTATCCTCCAACTCCTCCCGGTCCTGGTAGGCACAGTACATCTCCCCAGTACACACTCAGCAGACACACACACACACACACACACACACACACCTTCACAACACACACACACTTGAGGAGACGGAGAGCCCGGTGGCAGAGGCCGCCTGCAGGAAAAGAAACAAAAAGAAGCTGAATGAGTCACTACAGTCAAGAAAATAAAAATGTGATGACAAATATATTAGACAACATTTATATTGTATTCTAGTTAATAATAATCACATGATAGTTACACATGATCGTATATGTGCAATCTACAAAACTGTAATTTAGTGAATTATTCAAGCTGGCTTTTTCTGAAGATAAAGTCCAAAATGTAACATAACGTCGAGGGGACTAAACTAAAACACACTTCAAGCTGCAGTAATTTAAATATTTTCCTATTTTTCTAAGAAGCTGAAAACATCTTATGTTTAAAAAACTTCTAATTTATAATCTAAATAACTCAAAGATTATTTTCTTTCGATCAATGAACGGTTTATTTGACTGATCAACGCAGTTCTGAAGTGTAATCATTTGATGTATGCAGAGTTTAAAGCACTGAATATTTCTATACATGTCCATGCTTTAAACTTTAAGATACTGGCCGTCTTTTTAAAACACGTGGTATCAAAGAGTTTGGAGTATCGGACAATTCTGACGACTTCACTGGCCAGCATCAAGAACTTTAAGTGAACTGACTTTGCTCTTGTTTTTAATTCCACGAGGGCTCGTTAACACAGCTGAGGAAGTGTGGATCTTCTGCACTCACAGTTTTTAAATCTTCCACAAAGAGTTCGTTCAAAGTGACGTCTTGATTCGGGTTCATCAGCTGCTAAATCATGTAAACAGACGTTAACAGGACACAATAAGGGGGGGTCACTGTAAGTTAAACAAACTGTAAATTATCCCTTAGGAAGATAAAAAACACTATTTTGAAAATGTTCACAATCTGACTTTCTTTCTCTCTCTCTCTCACACACACACACACACACACACACACACACACACACACACACACTAGACAGAGAAGGGGCACTGGCCCATTGCTCTGTCCAGTCCTGCGTGTCTGTGCCATGATGGCTGGAGATGATTGGCTCCCAGACCGCACACACCGCAGAAACGCCACGCTACATGGTCACAAGCCGGCCGCCAGGGATTAAAGGGACAGAAAGAGGAGTCTTGCCCGGCTGGTGGGGGAGAGCGACAGTTCTGAAGTTTAGCGGTGCCCAGAGACCTGGAGCTGACAAATGACTGGCTGTGTTTTACACTGGTGGATGTAGGAGTACTTAAAGCCCCCAGCACAGACATGGTCCACCGGCACAGGTGTGTTCACTTAATCCGCCCAATCAAAGCTGTGCTCAGAACTATATGGGTATATATGGACTCTACTTGACTGACATCGCCCCGACTCCCCTGTTAGCTTTGTTGCATCTTTTATCGGCTTTTCTAACAGGAAATGGTTTGATATTTCACAAGAGGAAATGTTCACATTTAAAATCATAAAAAAGAGACGGCCTTCTTCTGTTGGTGGGTTCTGGTACTGTGCATGTGGGTTCCTCTCTTCAAGCCTAATTGGACTCTTAAATCTGTCATAGCCATGGTTAAAGGGATTGTTCAACATTGTCTCTACATACAGTCTACATGTTAGATTTATAGTTTAACAACGCTCACAATTGTTGCCAATGTCCTCAGCGCCTTTTGGCTGCAGCACTACCATTTGACAAAGAATTACAGGCTATAAGCTTTCTAGTCTTACCTGTTCATGAGTAACAGACAAGCAATACAAGTTGGGCAACAAACAATGAAGATGGCACTGTAAAATATATGCAAAGATGACATAATGAAAGGGACGTACAGAACGGTGTTTGACTGACTCGGACTTTCAGCCGTGTTTATCGTGGTCAGAGAGTACAGTGATGACAAATGTGGCAGCGCAAGGCCTCTTGCTCACAATGTATCCTGAACTCACTGACGGCAGGAAAACATCGCCTTATCTGTCAACATGACACACACTGAGGAATTTAACTCTCCGATTAACAACATTTCCCATCAGCAGTGATTGGTGGTCGACGCAACATGTAGAATAATGTCCCTTTAATGTTATTGAGGCTTTTCCACAAAAGAAGAAAAGGCACATTACCCCCCCCTGAAAAATATAATTCAATAAAATGTACCTGACGTGGATAACAAGTCAAGTCAGTTTGTTTATGTATTACGCTGCAAAAGCCGAGGGATACCCTTTCCATCCCATGTTACAGCATTGTTTACATCATTTATGTGCTTAAAAACAACTTGAGTAAAGAATGCTCGTCACTGAGAGACCATGTCCGTGTTTGTCTCGGGTTCAAACAGGCTCTTAATGTATGTTGTCTTTCTATAATTCCAAAACACCAACCAGAAAAAAAATCTATGGAGCGACATACACATTCACTGGGCTGGTGGGTGCAAAGATGGAGAAAAAAAAAAAAGGGGGAGGCTTCATCTGGAAACACAAGCTTGTATTTATCTGCCGTTCAGGCTTCAGTGGGAATGAATGGGAGATGGAGTAAATATTTGTGGGATGGAGCTGCAACATGAGTATCTTGGAGACAAGTGAAAACCTCTGCTGTGAAATACTTTCACTGAGTTTTTCAGTTTACATTTTATACTTCTAGTGAAAAAACCTTTCAGAGGGATGGCCTGTGTATTTACTTGGAAATATAAATGAGCCAATTACTTACATTACACTTAGTTTAGTCCTTATTTCTACATTTCTTACTGCTTTATCGTGAACATAAGCAAATGTAAAGAAAGAGTATTTCTGATTCTTAAATGTGCTCCTACATAATAAATTATACCAACACAGCTTAAATATGACAACTCAAATTAGAACAACTCATCACAAATATAAAACGAAAGCACTCATTGTTTCTGCCACCTTCTGTAAGCACTTCAGCACATCATTTTTCTGCAGGGTTGTCATGACGTCATAATGATCCTCTACTGGAAGTAAAGGCATGTAAACTGTTGCCATGGTGTTTGCAACACTGCAGAAATGTCAGTGTAATAGGTAAACACAGAGCTTTATATGTATAATGCATAAGCACTGCAGGTGTCCTTGTTGTGGTATCTGTTAGCTCAATGCTAAAGAGCTAGCAGAGGGTGGCTCTGTGTAAAGCTGTTTAAATGCCACTAAAAGCTCATCTCGTCCCAAAAAACACAAAAAGGACTCAGTAAACTGTCTCCTAGCAGTGATATAATCTAGTATCTTCCACATGTCGACAGTCCCTGGTTAGCATGTGTGCCTCCTGTCTGTCCACGTGTTTATGAGCAGCCGGTTTGGATGTAAACAAAAAAACATTTCAGTCACAAAAACACACGAAATAATAAATACACTTATAATTCATGTCCCCCTACTGAAAGCCACCGACGCACGTGTTTATTATTCAAACGCAGGCTTTAGCTTACCGTTATCCAACAAACAGGAGATGTTATAGTAAGTTGTAGCTGCTCTCCTGCCTCCAGTCAGGAGGGAGTCAAACTAAACACTTCCGGGTTCGTCGAGGGGGGAAAAAAGGTTGGCCGAGCGTAACGTTTCACTGAGTCCTGCAAGAAAGAAATGTAGTTTCATGGTTCAACTTGTGTAGTTTCATGGTTAAGCTTGTGTAGTTTCATGGTTCAACTTGTGACAGTGCTGGAGACTACGAGATTCAAAGAATGGCAGAGAGCAATACTTTTATTTTGAAATAAGAGTTTAAATTTTCTGAGATGAAGTCATGTGTTTTCGGGAAAATCAATAAAATAATGTAAATTTACTCCGAAAACTGAGGACACAAATCCAGGCGCCCATTTAAATCCACAGACTTTATCTAATCACAGACAATGTTGACGAGACAGCAGTAAATTATTGTAGCCTATAATAAAAATAAAAAAAATGTTCATGAGTCTCACATTTGTTTTTATTTTTTGGCCTTAAATTAGTCAAATTGACATTTCCCCTTGTGTTTCTTCAGTTATATTTTAATATTCCATTTATGTAAATACTAGTTCAATCCATTCATTATTAGTTATATAAATAGCTTATAAAATGTAATAAGGATGTACTTGTTATTATTTACTTTTACAGTTTTTCTTTTAATTTCAATCCCTTTATTTAATTATTTTCTATTCTATTTATCTAATTGTGTAGCATTTTAGTTTTCATTTTATGATTCATTTATTGTAAACAATATTTAAAAAAATAAATAATAAAAATAAACTCCGGTCGTGACGTATTTTCAACATAAAAAAAAGGATCGAACCAATCACAAGATGGAAGGCGGGACATACCGTTGGGAAGAATTTTGATTGGGTTGTGAGCTTCGACAAAGGTTTTTTTATTGGTCAAAGAAATTAGTAAACACACCTGAGTGCAGAAAGTCACCAAACATTTGAAAGTTTTTCGCGTTTTACATGGAAGAGGAAATACAGTTATTTTTATATAAACAACTAACAAAATGGTTTATTAACATATATTTGGCAGATAAATGAACATTTAACAAACTATGCAGAAGAAGAAAGAGAAAGTCTTAAACACTTTCCACGTTTGCGGTCAGATGGATTGTCTGAACGAGCTGCATGGACAATGTAAGTGATTGTCTTGAGCTTAATGTAAGATACATTTGTAAATGTGCGTTGCTGCTATAGCAGGAGTCGGGTATTGCTGTTGCCATGGTAACTTCTTTATTCGGCTTTCCTATGTATTAACTCGAGAAGTGCTGCAGTCGTTTTTGCGTTTTTGTAAATCCACAGATGCTTTTCTGGTGACTTGTATATTTATTTTGAATTGTTTGTGCATTTTTTTTTTTTCGTGAACTTCAGTTCAATACATGCACTTGGTACATAGCTTTATTTCGTCAACAATCTTTCTTGTGCTTAATAATTTATCTACTTTACATTCCTTATTTTATTCATAGGTCTTTAACTATTTTTCTGCCGCTTTATTGTGTGTAAGAGCAACTGGAACACCGAGTGTCCCCCTCGGGATTAATAAAGTATTTCTGATCTGATTCGCTCACTAGTAATGTCCTGAAAAAAATGCCTTTACATTGTGAAGTTAGGAACGCCCATTTCAATTATACACCCCAGAATAATCTCCTCAAACCCCTACTGCTTACATCAAGTTCTGAGTTTATCCCCTACTGATGACAATGTCATTGTATAATTGTATAAAACAATCTGATGTCAGCAAAATAACACAAGATTATGATGTGATGCAGAATTATCACATATTGACCATGAAGTTTCATTCTAAGAGTGTTTACATTTACCGTGAAGCCTTAAGATGAACAAATCTGTGAAGCCGCCTGTGTCGTTGTTGCCTGTTTGTAGCAGAGCCTAAGGAAATCTCAATTTCTCATAGCAATAGCAGAAATAGAAGATAGAGATGAATCAGTTTTTTCCTGGGTTGTCTAAGTTGTTTCTGAGGTTTTTTTTTTTTTTTTCCCCGTTTCAGTCTCCAGGCTCACATCTTACAATTCATATGAAGAAGTTGAATTTGCTGTCACGTAATGAGAGAATCTTTTAGACAAGAACCTTAAAGTCAGAGATCTAAAGTGCCCTGCTTAAGACTGGGTATTTGATCTTGGCATCCTTCATTCACTTCCATTTCGGGTTATTTGTGTCAATTCACAGTCTACAAAAACACCCAAATTACTTGCAGAAAAAAGAAGGGTCTCTGAGTAACAGAAATGGTTTGACCTATTCTGTAATGCAAAATCGTATTAGCTTATGGATGCAGACAGTAATTATGTTCCCAGAGAAAACCCTGTGACTACATCATTTTGAAACATGTACTTTGATGATAAATGTTATTATCCAGGCTGACTTCTTGGACGTAGTACTTCTTTGTGCAGACAAAAGGTCCAGCTGGGCTCTTGTTTAACCGCTTAGATGGACTATTATGACTCTGATGGATGCGAGGCGTGTTCACCTTTCCCAATAAGACACAAATATTAACTACCAGTCTGGAATATGTGCTGGGTGTATGCGTGCGTGGACCTGCAGGCTTGTGCTATTATTACATGTTGATGGGAATGTAAATCTATATGTAAATGTAATTCAACATACTGACTATCGCCATCAGTCATATTTATAACTCACAGAGTTCAGCAAAATTATGCCAGCGTGGCTCCCATGCAGACTATGTAACATTAACATCCAGATCACCTGCCCCCACCTCCCCTTCCATATCATGGGAGTAATTTTGAACTCTGTATATCCAACTACTACACCAATACAATGAAAGT